GGTTCTGATGGAGTCATATTGGTTTTTATGTTGTTGACTGTATTTTTGCACTGGCGTCTACCCATCTCTTTCTCCACTTGGTGCAAGCGGAGTCTGTGTCTGAGGGAGCCTCTCTTGGTCTGATTGATACTCTTGATCCCGTGGGAGCTCTTGGTATAGTCAATGCTTATGGATTTTTTGTCTTAGGGAGCAGCTCTTAGTCCAACTGGTGCTAGTGGGCTCTGTCTCAGGGCGTAGCTGCAGTCTTATCGTGTGGTAGATGGTGGTAGTCTGACCTGTCTGCAGGAGGTCTGCCTGCCAAGTGGCCTCTTATTCCAGTTGGGTGCTGGAAGGCTCTGTCTCAGGGAACAGTTGCAGTCTCTGAGGATGGGTGGGATTTGGGGGAGGTGGGGCTTGGGTTACAGGGTCTGATGGGGGATGGAGGTAGTCTGACCTGTGTGCAGGAGGTCTGCCTACCACCTGGCCTGAAACTGGAACTGCAATGGGTGGGGGTGTAGGGGGTACAGGGTTGCGCCCCTGGCCCAAAGCCTAGGGGCTGCGGTGTTCGGATATGAGGATAAAGACTCACCTCTTAGTCTAGTCAGGTGCTGCTCATTTCCTCTTCAAAGTCTTCTATTACTTTCATAAAGTTGTTCTCATAAAGGTCTTTTTCTTGTGCTTTAGCTATGTTGGACTATTCAGGGCCTACTGTGGTAGGGTAGCTGGATTTAGTGGGGACATATTGTCCTGGCTGGTGTTGTGTTTCTTTCTTTTTGAGACAGGGTTTCTCTGTGTAGTTTTGGAGCCTGTCCTGGATCTTGCTCTGTAGCTCAGGCTGGTCTTGAACTCACAGAGATCCACCTGGCTCTGCCTCCTGAGTGCTGGGATTAAAGGTGGGCACCACCAACACCCAGCTGGTGTTGTGTTCTTACACTGGTGTGTAAGCTCCTAGGTTTAGGGTGATTATAGGTCTAGGTGCTAATTTCTGGGTTGTCTTTGTTGTGTGTGTGTTTTGTTCCTTAGTTTCTATTTTCCCTCTGTATTTTTGGAGAGTGTGATGGCTGTGTGTTACCTCTTTTCCTGGCCTGCTCAGTGGTTTTCTTCACAGGGAAGAACTGCTGGTGTTGAAGGCTGGGATAATGGGATGAGTTGGGGGAAGGAAGTTTGTTGGAGGAGGTCCTTAGGGATGGGTCAGAGATGAAGAAGAGAAGAACACAGTAGGTTTCCTTCCATGGGGCTTAGGATAAAACTGGGGGGATAGGATCTCAGGAGTACTAGGAGAGGTGTGGGTCTGCCTTCAGCCCAGTTTGGCTCTCCCATTGCTCTGGGAGGACATGCCCTTGGGTTAGCAGGGGACACCATCTGGGTGATGTCTGTAATAAAACAATTAGTGGGCAGAGGTGCTTAGAAGGGGGAAGATAATCTCTGGGATCCATGGGATTTGTGAAGGAGCCTGCCAAGCATGTTTTGCTGTAGAGCTGGGAATGAGACTGGGGGACTGGAATTGGGGAGAGAGAGAAAGAGAGAGAGAGAGAGAGAGAGAGAGAGAGAGAGAGGAGAATGTGTATTGCAGTCTACTTGATTTTCTGGCAGGCATGGCTTGTGATTTAGTTTGGGGCTCTGTGCTGGATTTGGGGCTGTTACCCTTTTCTGTTAGGCCTATGTCTTCCCAAGGAATGACTTTTGTTTTCTTAATCAGCCATTTTGACTAGAGTAAGATGAAATTCCAGAGTGGTTTTA